AAAAAAGAGAAAGCGATGGATATTGGGCCCTTCTAAGTGGCGAAGACGCGGATCCACTTTTCCCCCCTTGAGTAAAATACACAGTAAGTCAAATTCGGCTGGCATAATAAACGAATAATTTTTTGTGAATCCGCTTATTAGAAAGCCAAAATTAAATAACATACATTTCACTGGAATCGTTCCAAATTTGGGAAAAACAATATCCCACATTCCTTTAACCGATGAATTTGACATTACTTTACGAACCGATACATTAGTTGTGGTTGTTGAATGTAAACTCAAAGCTACAACTGATGATGTTAAAAAGTTAAATAATACAAAGTTATTGAATTCTAAAACATCATGATTAGAATTAATCGGTGATCATGCAAAATGTGATGAAAATTCAGCAGTGAACATACTCACAAAAAAAAGTATTTATCGTATTGAGGAAAACGAAATTTCTGTTGTAACACTAGATATCGATCGTATGCTTATCGGTATCTAGTGAAAAACCTATAGCAGGTGAAATAATCCATTTTTGTCTATTTTTGAGTAAAATTAAAAAACTCATAATCCAGTCAACACCCATCCAGATTATGTCAGAATATCAAGATGTACTCTATTTTACCTGCTCAATACGATTTTTTACTTGAGAACAGTAAAAAACATTCTTGCACTTTGAAAGATCTCCAGAAAAATTGTCAAAAATCAAAGTACTTCCTGTTGATTTTTAAAGCCTTTTTTTGAACTGCATAGTGTTCAGTAGATAAAATAGAGTACATCTGGATATTCTGACATAATTTAGCTGGATATTGACTGGATTATGAGTTTTTTAATTTTACTCAAAAATAAACAAAAATGGGTTATTTCACCTACTATAGGTTTTCACTAGGTTTCTGAAGCTTTTTGAAAAACAAATGCTTCCAGGAGATTCAGTGTGGTCGAGTACCTATGTTTCCATTCGTTTTTTGGAATTACCACACTTAAAGAAGTATTGGTCTTGGGACTCTCAGAAAATTCGATGCTACGCCTGAACCAGGAAAAAATAAACAATTCGCTTAGTTCGCATTTTGGAGAAAACACGTTGGACTATCTATTCATGAATAATACTGATAGATTGCTCTCGCAGTTTTCGGAGATCCAAAGTAGTTTTCCAAAGGTCTCCTAGAAAACTGGGCTTTTGAACGTTTTCGGAAAACGGTCTGCTTACGAAAATATAGGCTAAACTGTTCCCTTTCGATTACTGAAAAGCGCACGTCTCTAGCGTTTATCGTTGATGAATTGTGTCGAGTTATTACCATGTACCCTATTGGGGTGCATCGGGTTCTATAAGATTAAAATGTGAAGGAGAAGTATGTCAGTATCGTTTTCATCAAACACCATTATCAGTATTGAACAATGTTCTAGCATGTCGTGGTTGTACAAAAAGTGGCTTAATATAAGATGTAGACAGACACAACCACCAATATCCTATGTAAAAATCAGTAGACCAATACGCTGTACGTGCATTCTGAGATTGTCAGTAGTAATTTCGAAATTTTTTTCTTACACTTTATAGTGTATAGTAAAGTAAAATGGCTATTAAATTTATTGAATTTATTTTTTATTAATAAAATGAAGTGTATCTAAGAGTGCCATGTGATGTTCTCGGTTAGTGCTTCGTATTCATTAATAAATGGATTGAAAAAAATTGATTTTGTATTTTTCGATAGTTTTAGTTTAGAATACTATAATGGAATGTTTTTCCGCTTATATTAAATGGATCATTGAATCCTATACGGTTCTATAGGGTTAATTTAATTTTTGTATTTCATAGTAGAGTTTAATAAAACTTCCGATTGTCAATAAATGATTCCGAATAAATGCTATATTTTTACGTGATTTCATTTTACAATCTTTATTTGGATTTTGAAGCAGGATACAAGACATGAACTAAAAAGTCGAATGATTGCTGCAAAGATCAATACAACTGAATGATAAGTATTTTTCTGAATTGACTCGTCGTTTTTTGCACCAGTGCGAAAAACATGTCGATTAGTCTAGCGTACTTAGTTTATGAATGCCCTAAAAAAAAATATTTTATCGGCATTAGTTGTGCATGGATGCGCACCGGTCCCGAAAATTTTTTTTCTGGAAAGCATGTAAAAGCCTCGCATCGATGCGCACCAGTGCCAGAAAGAATGTAAAAATCTCGCACCAATGCGCACCGGTGCCGAATAATTTTTTTTCTGGGCATCGATGCGCATCGGTGCCAGAAAGAAGTCTCACACTCACCAATGCCGAAGTTTTGTTTCCAACCACCATTTTGTTTTATCAATTTCTGTCTATATTAACACCAGTCTACTTCTAATATTTCGAATGTCGTTTTGACTTCATCTTTTCCTTTTCATAAGAGAAGTGCCGAGGCAATGCCGCATGATTTTGACATGTCAATGTAGTGCTGATCAGTGCCGCACTCTAATACAAAATTAGTAGTATAAACAACTATAATAAAAAACTAATTAAATTGATTAAATAAATTCCAATGCGGAACCCATGCGGCACTGATTTTTACCAGTGCGACACTTTTTTGGCAGAAATACATCGACACTGGTGTGCATGGGTGCCAATTGGCACTGGTTCGGCATTTGCTGGGCACGAGTGTGCACCGGTGCCAGCCAGTCCGCGGTGACATGCCATGCGCACCGGTACGCACTAGAATATTTTTTATAGGGTGGTGCAGTCCATTCATTTTTTGTTTGGCATTTAAAACATTGAAATATAAAATTTTCACAATTTTTATACGTTTCTAATTCGAATAATACTTAATTCTGTTCATCTGACTTATCATCTAAATAACTATGTTTATAATGCAATGAATCGAAATCTCGTGAAAACAAAAAACGATTATTGATTAGAGACTTTACCACTACCCTAGAGAACGTACTTGGGACCAAGTACTTGGACTAAGTACTTCGTCTGCGTAATGAAGTCGGTACGTGCCTTTTTTCCAAAAGTAAATTTACTCGTAAGTACTTGTCCTAACTTACCAAGTACTTCCTAGCAATAAGGCAAGTATTTCGATCATTGACAAGTACTTAGCAAGTAATCAAGTACGTTCTCTAGGGTACTCTCACCTAAACATGCAATAAATATTCGATCGGCTCCTTCGAATGATTCTGTTAACCGTGATACAACCGGTAAAATCTGTTCCTAAAAAAAGTTGAAAAATGTTTAGTCTTTCAAATATTTGAATTTTAACGTCATTTTTACTTAACAAATAATGTACGCAGTTATATCGCTTCGTTTCAGTTTCTGTTCCTTTGTAACTTATTTAAATTCAAACGCAGTAATATTTAAACATGTGACAAATCATTTTTATTCGAATAATCTTTTAAATCTTTTGTTAGTCACTGTCTCTTCCATCATCGATGTTATATTCCGAGTCATTGTCATAAGAACAAACATTTGACTTTCATTGGATAAGCATACGGGAGCATTTTTCTGTGAAATAATACTATTCTTTATGCCTGATTAATCTCGTATTTCAGACTTTTTTTTGTGAAAAATTGCCTACCTTAGGAAAATAAGTATATTGACACTCCGATACCAGAAATATGAAATGAGAGGTTTAATGTTTGCGACACCTAAGTGTTAAAATTAAACGTACAGATCATTAACTATGTACTTCAATGCTGACTATTTTTTCTGTTAGAAACGCGATTGCTTTAATTTCTCTACAGCATTGAAACATTTTATATCAGTAATAATTGATTTTCATTGACGATGTACGTCTAAAATAGAGCAAAAAAATCGGATCCTACATTTGACATATGATCAAAATTATACGACACATGCTGTTTACATTCAAACGACTGGTTCGAGATACAACCAACAAATTTAAGCGCATACGCAATGACCTTTGATTTATTAACTAACATGAACAGAATTACAGATGAATAATTTCTTTGCTCATAAAATAGAAGAGAGTAGTAAAATCACAGTACGTGAAAAAAAACTACAGATCAATAATATACGATATTTGGTTCGACTAAGAAATAAGAAGAAGACGATTAGCATGAGATAAAGAGGGAAGAGACAAGAATATTAATATACGAAATAAATATTGTAATATAAATAGACAGACATATTGCGTAGTCAGCCATATTTTTAGTGCGTGCATAAGTAAAATTTGAAGATGCGATGCGATGAAAAAAAGAATTAAGATCGGTAACTTTTACAACAAACATATAAATATATTGCACGTAAGATATAAAAAGAAGAAAAACGAAAACTATCTACAATAAAAGATAAAAAAAAATGATAGAAAACAATGTGTTCCGATACCGTGAAAAAAAGTGCATCAGATCAACTGAAAAAATATTTTATTATATGATGATTAATTATCTTTGAAGAGGAAATTTAATAGATAAAATTTTGATTTTTTAAATAATTTGTAAATGAAAAAAAAACGATTGTTTATTCAATAGTCTCAAGAGTGTAAGTGTTATACGTTGACACTAATATTACAAAAATACAAGAGTTAAAAAGAGTAATGCTGTTGAAGTCAATCTTTCATCCGTTTTTGTGTTAGCAGAATGGTCTATCAGGAAAAACTTCATTTAACATTTTGAGATCAATAAGTAGTTTATTTGGAAGTTTTTCTCACGAAATGAATTGTACGACCAAAACGAAATAAAAAGATTTTTCTCTACGGTAAATATTTTAAAATAGAAAATGATTATAAATTTCTGTCAGGAATGTACAATATAATAGAGGAGAAAATAAACGCCGACTATCATATAATATTTTCGATAAATGCGCACATACTTTGTATATATTTCAACATTTTTGACTAAAAAAAATGCGCACAAACAATAAATTACCAAAAAACACACATACCACTGTATACATAAATGGAAATACATGCACACAAAGGCAAAATACTTTTAAGAAAAACAGATTCTAATACGAGATCATATGTGTACATTAATTAAAAAATAGAATAAAACTATTATGTTTGGCTAGTCTTTTGCATATTAAAATTGATCCTCTAATAGTTCGGTCAGACGTGTGGCAACCGTATCTTTGCTGGCACGTACAGACAATCGATACATCTAAATAAGAAGCAAGAAATAGCAATATTTTACGTTCATCTTACAAGTACAATGAAGAGTGTTTTGTTATTTTTACTTTCGTTTGCTTATTTGGTTCTAAACGATACAGACATCCGATTTGTTGTCCTGTTGTATGCAAAATGCCGGCACCACAAAAGTTTTCAGTATTAACATCGATTCCAACAAGATTACTCCAACCAAAACCAATCAGCTATAATCAAAGAAGAGTGTTGAAAATACTGTTTGAAGCCTTCAATGTTGAACTTACTTTTTGAGAACAGTCTTCATGATCAATAGGATTTTTGGCGGAGAATATTTTTTGACACTCTTGTCCTGGTCTAAATATATTGAAAAACATTCAAATACAAAATAGATATATAAGGGAATATTACTAAAGAAAAGGACTAATTCTCTATTCTTACTTGTCTAAATTTTTCCATCTTAAAAAGAAATTATTTGAATCCATTTCAACTTTTTCAATAAACTTGTTGATATACAATGGAAAGGAAAATTCAAGTTTTTGTGGAACATTACTATAGCTAAAAAGAGAAAGAAAGAGAGAGAGAATAAGTATAAGATAGCTGCTATAGAAAGTTGAAGCTTCTTACAAGAATGATAGATTCATTTTTGGTATATCCCGAAATTCTTTTAAGCATTCAATTGTTAACATTTGTTTTGTTTGAGTTTTTGGTTCGATCGTTGATTTTATTTGTTCAGCATCAACTCTAAGTTCTAAAATAAATGCTTCTTATTTAGAAAAAGGGCAGCAAAAAAAAGTATTCAATATAAATAAAATATTGATGACATACGCTGAATCAACTCTCCAGTTAGTGCTAATGATGGTGAAAAACTTGTCATATTAATATCAGTTTTATTTCCAAAATAGAGTTCACATCGACAAATATTTTTTTGTGTTTCTAATTTTGCTCCAATTTGTAATAGATCATTTTCAAATATAACATCACTTGTTTTAAATAATAATTTTTTACTACCAAGTGTTGAAGGCACAGAATTTGGCTTGGGGTAAAATGATGATTGTTGTTGGTCTAATGATGACTGTTTGTAAAAATTATTTGATGTTATGGGTGCACTTGAATTGGATAAAATTGAGGCCAATGAGTAGTTATTTTCATCTGTTGACGATTCATTATCAAGCGAAACGAGAAGACCATTTTGTTGCTGTTGTTGAACTGTATGTTGATTCAAATTAATAGCATGTGATGACTAAATAGAACATATATTATATTGCACTTGCCAGATTATACATCAATCTGTGAAAAAACTTATATTGTCTCTCTTTACAACTTACAGTTAGCTGCTCATTAGTTTTATGCGTTTCTGTATGTGTACTTTCATGATTAAGCCCATCAACTGCTGCAGTTGATTCATCACCACCAGCTCCGCTTAAACTGCCATCCATTAACGGTTTTTTTTGTTTTAATCTCACAAGCAACGGTGATACTTTCTCTGGATAAGGTGGCATTACTTCTAGGACAGTGGCTAAAACCGTTGGCGTACACACTTCGCTGAGTTTCAAATATTCAATGGAACGTTGCTGAATTTCAACATCTGAACTACGAAAATTAGACTCATGACGTAAAACCTAAACACAGATAACAAATAAGTATAAAAAAGAAATAGTAAAAAGAGATTGAGCTTACTTCCTGTATATGTTGTTTTATTTCTGGAAACAAATTAACAAATTTCATGTAAGTCGATAATAGAAGACAACGAGTCGTTGGAGAACATAAATGGTATTTTGAATGTAAAAGCTCGAATTGAATCATTGGACTAAAAACAGAGGGTAATATTTTCTCATTTTGAGCGCAGAGGCAGAGATCAGTATAATATTTGCCAAAAGGGAAAACAACGTAGTGAAGAAGTAGAATAAAATGAAGTCCTTTGAATAAAAAATGCAGATGACATACTTATGATAGACTAACCTCTTGTATTTTTTCATTTCTACTATTCGGTCCTTAGAAATGAACGTTTGCCTACTAACAGTCAGTACGAGTGCGGAATATTATAAATGTATTATGATGAATTTTCTTAATTGTTTGAACGTAATGAGCGAGAACTTTCAAGCAGTACCTAATGTCAACAACGTGACCATAACACATTTTAACTATTATTCCCGATTCCTGTTGTTAGCGATTATTAAGAACTAGAAATAAGCATCGGTTATGCAAACAATGCTTGAACATTTTTGTCACTTGGAGTTTAAGAAATTTTTAATAACAGATGGAATTTTCTCTTCTGACAGACATTTGTTCACTTCGCAGAGTGAAGTGAAGTAAATGGAGTACACAGAGTGTCATTTCAGTTTGTGAAGGGCGTTGGTTCTTCTTGGTTTACCACACTGGGTAGAAACTTATCCAGCTTAAGAGTTAACCTGGAGTAGTTATATGCTCGCTTGAGTCTTCAATACTAAGAAAATACATACATTGATCGTGGATCTAGTGCAATTAGATTTCCGTATTCTCCAAGTATGTAGCCAGTGACTTTAACCATATTTTCATGACAGGCTAGAGCTTGCAATGCTTCAAAAGCAATTTTGGCTCCATAACTTTGAACATCGGAGCGATTTACCACAACTTGAATAACACGATACCAAACCTATAAATATAAAGCTATCAATGTTCTATGTTTTCATCTATCTTTGAAAGAGATGATTATAATTTATAAAAAATAAAAAAGTTCTAGTTACACACATTTAACAACAACAGGCAGCAGGTCATACCTCAAGCTTACTTTTCCTTTTTCAGCTCGATCATATCTAAGAATGTGCAATATTATGCAAGATTCACTGAGAGAAATAATCCCAGAGTTCTAATCAACAGAGTGATAATGCTTAGATGTTACTAGAATTCGTAGATATTATATGTCTAACACAAACATTACCTCTTCAGAGACAAAATCTCCGGCAATTCTAATTAATTTTAACATTATATCAAGATACCATTTATAATCGATTGCATATTTTTCACCTAATATCGCTATTTTCAATACCTAAAATAACACAATTTGAGTCAGTTTTATTTAACAAAGATATTTTTCAATTCTATCTTACCATTTCTTCTCTTATTGTATAATCAGCTGTTTCAAGATAAGTTAACATTTCTTGAACGATATCTTGAGCATTCGAACGATCACACATTGCATATAAAAGATCAACAGCACGTTGACGAACACTAACATCACGTTCACTCTAAAATAAAAGAAAGAAGAAAATATATTGAATAGTACCAATGTTTCAAATTATTTTTCTTGCCTTAAGTGCATTGATAACTGTTTCTTGATGTTTTTTAACTGCGTCATGTGAAAATTCGGATGTAGCTAATAGACACATGCTCTCAAGTGCCAAATATCTGAAAATGAGACAATTAAGTTAATAAATTAGATAATATATATATTTTTTCTATTTACCTCAAATTTGTTTCTCTATTCTGTAAAAATTGTCCTAGTTGGTTACATGCTCTGACAAGTAGGGTAGACTCACAATCCATGTGTATAATTAAATTGATTGCTTCAAATAAAACAGCATTTCTCGCATTTGAATGTTGAACTTTTTTAGATTTTAATGGTTCTTGAGCTTTATTTAAAATTGTATCCAAACATTCATTTAAACGACTACGAATAGAAGGATCATCTAAAAAAACACAGATAACAAATATACAATATCAGTGAGATTTTTCAAGATTACGATCATCGAAAACGTTAGATAAAACATATCTGCTCTGTTTAATTGAGTTATTTTACCTGGTGGTGGATAATTTTGTAGTACTCTTAATAGTTTGACACATAACCATGGTGCAGGAACAAAATAATATGTATAATCTTGAAAATCAGTATACGACGATGTAACTATCTAGAATCAAAACAAATGCGTTAAAAATTGATAAGTTTAAAATTTTCTTCATCAACCTACTCGGCTTAATCTTGAAACAGCCAAATTGACACAACCTTTATATTCTTCGGGATTCCGTTTAACAAGTGCTTCAATTAAACTGACAGCAGCTGTTGCTACACCCTAACATAAACGTATAAATAAAGAGTGAGTAAAGAAATCAGATAGCGATTAGAGCGTACCAAATGTTGATCGTTTAATAAGTGAATTATTCGACCAGTCCATTCTGTATTCATTTGAAGCGCGTCTGAGCTTGTTCGATGAAGTCTTAGTAGACATAGAGCAGCAGATTGCTTAACAGGATCAATTGTGTCACTAAAATAAATGATTGTATAAATTTACGTGGATAACAATGCTATTATCTTATCTACTAGTGCAAGAATATTTATTTATTAACGTGGAAAAAATTTTAAATAATTTAGTTGCATACCCCGATATGAGTAGTCGCGGTATATCGTTTGTAAATGCTGTTGCCATTTCTTTTTCTCCAATATTAGCCACACATTGTAATGCAAGATTGATGAATATAGGATTTCTACTTTGTAAATCATTTCGAATATTTTGGATAATTAACTGTTTCATTTCTGTACTATTGTTCATAATGACAGATATAAATAAATAACCCTGAATAGAAAAATCTATAATTAAACTATTTGAAAAACGATACAAATGAGTGCACTCATCTAATTTGACAATCATCAGATGATAGTCACTATTTCTGACAAAAATATTCTCACATGTTATAATAAACCTGTCGAATTCTACGACTATTAGCTTACGATTTGTTTTTCTGTATATTTGTTTGAACTTAATAAATTGACGGCTTCCATGTAGCCAAAATCAATATCGTGTCCCAATAAAAAAATAAATAATAATTTACAAACATATTTTTTCTTTTGATAACCATCTAATGTTTTATCTGTTCTAAATCGTTGACGAATATTTGTTAATTCTTTATTAATACGTCTCAATTCAGCTTCTCGACTTTTACAATTACGAATATCACTAATAAACACGGCTAAACCACGCATACCATCGCCACGCATATTTGGCATTATTGATAGAGAAAGAAAGTTCGATGGAAAGAAAGCAAAATTAAGTATAATCTGAAACATAAAAGATGGATGATCATCGAAAAAATATGAACATCTTTTAATAATTGATCTTTATTCCATTAAACTACTAAAAAAAAATACTTCGACAATAGAAGATTAAATTCGACTAGGATCAGCTCATATTTCACTGGTCGAAGTCATTGGCTGAAAAAGCTTTTAAGCAGCTTTTACTGCCCTTTTGAAATCAAAATGATATCCTCTTCTCTTGTTCTCTCATGTCTTATCAGTTTCTGATCCGAATTCGGAATTCATCAATGTTGGCAATAATTTTTAGTTGAAATAAAGAAAATTTTTCTGTTTTCTGTGTAATTTAGTTAGATTTCCATCTTGTTGTTCCTTTGCTGGAAAGAAATGAAGGGTTTTGTTCTAGCCTAAATCTTTGTAAGTGTCGAATTTTGGGTCTCGGTCTTATAATCAGTGGATCACTCTACTTTTTCTAGATTTCTGTTATTCGGTTAAGGAACAAGATGGTTTATCAAATAATATATGACAAAGTTAAAGTGACATCGTCTGTGTAAGTCCTATCTACTGAGGAAGAACATGAGTTATACGTATTTGATAAACTCTTCTTTAGAAGAGCTTGTTACTTTGGTGGAAAACAAGGTAGCCATCAAGAAAGCAAAAACAAGCAAAGAAGAAAAAAACACAGAACATTGGCCAGGTTACCCTGGCATCAGTGAATTAATTCAAGATAAAGTAGCAGCGTTCGTTGAAGAAGGTAAGCAGGGTTGTTACTAGATGGTCAGAGCTCTGATTCTTACCGATGCTCTAAGGTTTGGAATCAAATGAGCAAACAAAAACATATCCGGAAAAATTATGTTCTACATAACATCGTGATGCCGTCGGTATCATGCCCATAAAAACGTGTTACTCAAAATTAACACACTAGTTAAAAAAAAAACGAAAGAAACGAAAGAAAAAAAAGGAGGAAACAAGACGTACGTAAGAAGAATCCCAGTATTTGCAATTCATTACTCATTTGTTTTTAGCTAAGCCAATTCTACTTCATTGTTGTGATTTAATCCAAAGAATATTGACAGATATTTTGGAATATATTCAACAGCAAGGTGAAACACCGTCGGCAAACCAATGTCCCAAGGAATTAAATAAAAAATATTGGATTTTGAAAGATCGTGTTCGATTCATCATGAATTTAATGGGAGTACAAATATTGATGAACTACTTTTTTTATTCTCATGCTCGTTTTCAGCAGCAATCTGAGATTATTAGAACTGAAAAACGCAGAATCAACTAAAGGATCACCCAAGTGAAAGTACTTATACTATGAGTACGACTTTACTCATGATTCGTCCATGAGTTCCCCTAACAATTTTTGAGTATTTTTACTCAGTGAGTACGCAGAAAATATTCATTGACCATTTTTTTTTCAAAATGAAACTGTATAAAGAACGTAAAATATTTATATTATTTTTTTCTCGCTAGTCTCTCTGTATATAGTAGAGATGGACTCCTCTGTGAATAGACTTGTAGTCCAACTCTGGCTGTCTGAGATCACTCCTCTATATGAAAATACTAGATGAATAATACTCATGAGTATTTTGTCAAAAGTTATATGAGTACTTTTTGAGTACTCACGCATGAGTACATTCACTAGGACAGCAACACGTCAAAACACGAATGATGATAATGATAAACAAAATGAAGATCGTACTCTGTGTGTTAATCTCCATGTAGTCAGAAAACATCAATATCAACTGTTAAGCGGTAGCTTCGTATTTCAGAATCGAACAACAGCAACGGAGAAGAAAAAAAACCTTTAAAGTTATCCCAATTATAGTTCTGTGTTTTGTTGTAATTACTTACGTCTGTTGTTTTACTTATTGTAGAGAAACCCAAAAACTGAAAGATTCACTGTCAACAGAAGTCATTGGCAAACAAAAACAATATTAATTTTTTTATTGTTCTGTTTTTCTTAAACAAAATTTTTTATTGTTGGATATCTGCTATTTTTGTTACAAATAAAAATTAGCCCAGATTAAAAAGTCCTTTAACTAGAAGTAAAAGGAGTAAATGATAGATAGGCTTGTAAATCATTTACATGAACAGACGAAGTTCTATTTCTACACGACTTTCCACAAGTGTACGCTACACCATGCGTCAGTTATTCCACAAGATAGGTAAAACAGCAACTTCTGTTTTACATACTGAATACAATAATAGTAGACCAGCTTTTTACGTATCTTTTTTTTCTGGAGTGTCTGCTTCTGTAAGACTTCGAGATAATATTAAGCATTATGCAAAAAACAAGGAAAAAAACGCAGAGAAACTCAATTTGGCATCAATACAGAATAATGCGGACCAAGCACTTAGGACTAAAACTAGTAAAAAGTCGAAAACCTGAAAAACTACTATCTATTTCGAAATAGAATGGTCATGGATGTTTTTTTAATAGCTTTTGAAGAGAAAGTCATAGAAACCTGCGATTTTCAGTTTCTGAAAGAGCACACCGGCGGACGTCGCACTATGATAAAATAAAGCTCTCCCGAAAGGTCTACCGTGGTGTATCTTTTGATTAAAAATCTAAGAGATATTCCGAAAAAAAGATGGATATTGACTTCTAAGAGAGTGGTTTGAACCACCGGACTTCAGTCTACAAAACAACGCAAGTCCTAAGGTTTTCATCTGCCACAGTTCAGATGATATAAAATTTTCCGGAGGACCTAACTATCGACTAAAATTCATGTTTCGGAATGTCCAAAACACATGGAACATAGGGTATCGACTTCTCTGAATGTTATGGCAACGTTTGTTTTTCGAAAAAGTTCCAAAAATCTGGTATAATATTATATACTATATTAGGTGAAATAACTCATTTTTGCCTATTTTAACGTAAAATTAGAAAATTCATAACTCACTCAAAATCGATCCAAACTACGTCAGAATATCAAGATGTACTCTATTTATCTGCTCAATCTGATTTTCTACTTAAAACAGTAGTAAAAAATATTCCTTTACTTCAGCAGATTGCTAGAAAATCTTTTCAAAAAAAGTATTTTCTATTGATTTTTAAAGGTTCTATGGAAATAGAGTCAAATGCAAATGTGAATATGTATGCATAAAATAACAACAACATATAATAGCAGTAGCGTTTTCAATTCGTCACATTATCAGATACTCTTCCCCTCTTTCCTTTCGCTTTTTGGCATTTTTCTTTTCTTCCAGTGTGAGTGTGAAAGACAGCAAGCGTTTCCGTTGGTCAATATAAAAAGTTCTTCAGCCAATAAGACAACGTTACTTTTTTCTTTTTTTTTTTAGCTAGATTCGAATTGTTGTGCTTTGTTGGTTTACATCAATTAAAAAATTAAAACGATATCAATAATACGTACTACTTTTACTGATTGTTGTTCAATAGTCAACAGTAGCTGTGAAATCAATGACTGATGGGTTTCAAATGACCCGTTATAGCTGTCACTTATAAAAATATTAAAACAGCAACAAGCTTTTAACATTCCTTAGCAGGACAGTAGAAAATCATTGAATGTGAATACGAGGAAGTTTACTCATACCATCATCGAGAATTCAGTAGTTGTATTTTTAGTTAATTTTAGTGATATATTTGATAACGTTGTAGCCATGAGTCCTCACTTTTCGTGAATAAAACAGTCTTAGTCTTAGAGTGCACATTTACCGAAGCAATTTTAGCCAGCACTAGAGGTCTGCAACCTGACTTAATCTTAGGTTCGAGGTAAGCTGTTGTTCATTAGGATTTAGGTTACGTTGTTTTAACGCTTGCAGCTCCCTAGGTAGAATTTTCGATAAGATTTTGGCATATTGAATGACAACCGTCTTATAAGAAAAATCAACAGGTCTGCAATGATGTTTTGTTCCTGGTACATGAATTTGCCGTGGATATATTGTTCAAAACATATCCCACAAAGACTATTATTAAAGCCTATACTGAAACATTTCGACCCATTTACTTTAAATTTACTATTCTCGAGAACTTAAATGACTTAAATTCAATGATACTAATAGCTGATGATTCATTTCTAACACTAGTGGCTTAAAACAAGTTGTCTTTTCTCAACCTAACTTATTGATAGCTTTCTGAATATTTACTATATAACAATACTCTCCGAAATCTTTCTTTATTATTCATTATTTATCTCTTTCTGAATTTATCGTATATGTTCTCTTTTTTTGTTTATTTTAAAATGAACGATTTATTATTTTCCTCTTTCTTTTTGTCTTTTGCGTTTGTGCAACTTGTTCACACTATGATGAGTGTAAACCACTCGATTGTATATATTATCTGATAGAATGATGTATGTTAAAAAAAAGAGTACAATACAACGATTCACCAATTAGAATTAAAATACTAGCACAGTCTGTGTATTCTTTAACGCACTTAAATTCTATTAATAAGATTCTCTATTTGCTTATTTAATGTCTGCAAGATCTTCAGTTCAACTCAAAAGAAATTAATTAAATAAATACATAAATAATCAGTCAATGGATTAATTAGTTTCATAACGTAGACTAGACGTACTATTTTCGTGAAAAATGTTATAGCATCGGTGTATGTGCATCTTTCCAAGAAGTGATGAATATATTTCAACTTCATATTCGCGAAAAAAGTATTCAAATTAATGGTATACTCTTGTTCATCTCTATTTAGTCTCAGATACAAACAGGCTGCCATTTAGTTTGAACATTTTCAACTTTTTAATTTTTTTAACGTAAACTGAAAATTTTGTGTAAATAATATCTGTCATTTCTTAAAAAGCATCTTTCTCAAATGTATTGATTTATTGTTTGTTCTAGATCGATCAAATTTAACTACTTTTTGAAATCCTAGACGTACAAAAACACATCTTAAAATGGCTACTGGTGCATTACCCGCAAAACCGAAACAAGAAATGACACCGGAAGAATTAAAACAGCGTGAAGAAGAAGAATTTCGTACTGGTCCATTATCATTGTTGACTGATGCTGTTAAAAATAATACTCAAGTATTGATTGCATGTCGTAATAATCGAAAATTATTGGCACGCGTTAAAGCATTTGATCGTCATTGTAATATGGTATTAGAAAATATTAAAGAAATGTGGCATGAAACTCCTAAAACAGGCAAAGGACAGGCGGGAAAAGGTCAAGCAAAACCTATTAATAAAGATCGTTATATACCAAAAATGTTTTTAAGAGGTGATTCCGTTGTTCTAGTATTGAAAAATCCAAACTCAAAAACAGATAAATAAAGTACGAATAAATAATCAAACAAAAATCGAATGATTTTCTAGAACAAAAAGACTTTTTGTTTACGTCTTTTCCTTCTACTGTGTTCTTCTTGTACTATTACTGATGTTGTTATTGTTGTTGTTGTTTTTTTATACTAAAATATATTTGAAGTCAAATTAATGAAAGCTAGTAATTTTATGAAAGGGCAAGTGTCGAGAAAGATTTAAATACGCGTTCCTCACATTTCTTTGAAAATAAGGCAAAAATATTAAGGGTGTCCTTAGGGATACTTTTCCTTCTTTTTGAACAAAAGTTTTTATTTTGAGTTGAACATAGGCTAGTGTAGCGAAAAGTTTGCCCTACAAAATAAGACAATCCCCTGCGTTCCACGATCTTTTGCAAAAGTTATAAGTATATTTAAGTTTTTCCTCAAGAGGCTAAAAAAGTCAATTTCCTTAGTTTTGCTAATTTTTCTAATATTTCTAGTATCATCGAAATTTGTTTTCAAAATACTCTGAAAGACACCCTGCAAAAAATGATCGGCTATTCCCTGTAATGAAGTAAACACTGGTGGTTTTAAAACAGGTACATTACGCCCTCAAAAAAATGGTTCGACCGATCGAATCCAAATTTTTACCACAGGTACTTCAGCCTCATCTCAAGTTCCAGATATTTTGAAAGGGCTTTCAACTTTAACTTTCATCATGGAAAGGTTTTTAATGGCAATAATCAACTTTTTACAATTCCCGAATATTTCGAGAAAGAAAACATGATTCTCGAAGAAAAATTTATAACTGAGTGAATTTAGAAGTTTGATGTTTCGAAGCCATAAATTTGAGCTCGATCGGATCATTTTTTGAGGGGTCGTAGTGTGACTAGATGCAAACCAGGGTCCCTAATAAAACTCATGGGAGAGCATGCTAGACAATTTCGGACAAGAACACAACGATTTTCGTTTTCGATGTCCAACCTTTGGTAAAATGTTGGAATCAATCTAAGGGGGGAAAAAGCAGCACCTAGTACTGAAAGGTGCCGTAAGGTACTGCAAAATAATGAAAAAAAAGTTCGTGGTTTGATTCGATCTCTTTATCCATCTGCCATCTTGAATTTTACGAAGCGAGAACGTGACTGATAGACTAAATCAGTAGTTTTGGGTGGCAAAAAGGTCCTGTACTAAAACGTACTTTTTTCCTTTGATCACTCGGTCCGTTGTTTCTGCGTTTGTCCATGGAGTGAAAAGAAAAAGAAGGGATGCCCTTAAAATGTTGTTCAAAATTTTTAATTTTTGGATCGAACTCTTTCATTTTAGACAAAAATATGAAAATTAGTAGTAGTAGTCATTATATTTCTAAATTTTCATTATTTCATCAAATACGCCGTGCATTATCGTCCTATACTGTTCATGAATTGCAATCTGACCAATATGGTGCACCTCTAGAAGTATTAAAATTAAATAAGACACAAACAATTGATGGAAATCAACTGAAAGCAAACGAATCAATTGTAAAATTAATAGCATCACCAGTAAGCAAGCATAGATTACATTGAATCATAGCCGAGTTTTTTTCTTTAAAATGAATAATAAAAAATACGCTTGAATATAATGTATCTTGTTTCATCTAGATAAATCCAGCTGATATTAATATGATACAAGGCAAATATGCTATATTACCCAAGTCTTTCCCCGCTACATTTGGAAATGAAGGTGTCTTTGAAATTGTTGAAACAAATGTAAAAGCCGGTCTCAAACCGGGTGATTGGGTTATACCAAAAGTATTAGAATGGGGTAAATGGCGTTCATATGGAATTTTGGCAGAAAATGATTTAATGTATATTCCAAAAAAAGATTTAATGCCTGAAGCTGTTGCCACATTGTCTGTTAATCCGTGTACAGCCGTTCGTTTAATAAAAGATTTTGTACAACTGGAAAAAGGTGATACAATTATTCAAAATGGAGGAAATTCAGCAGTAGGTTTAGCGGTAATTCAATTGGGAAAATTATGGGGCTTCAATGTGGTTAGTATTGTGAGACAAAGAGAAAATTTACAAGAATTAGTTGATTATATGAAATCAATTGGTGGAGAACACGTATATGTTGAGGAAGATTTAAGAAAAGGTAACTATTTTTCTCAATGGCTTAGACTATACTAAATTTAACAAACCTGTCATTGTTGTTATAACATTTTTATGGTTCTTTTGTTTTTTAGCTATATTATTAACTGATCTATGGAAAAAAATTCCTCGTCCAAAATTAGGTTTGAATTGTGTAGGTGGTCGTGCCACTATTGATTTGTTGCGAATTTTAGCAAAATCGGGTACAATGGTTACATACGGTGGCATGTCAAAACAGCCGATCACCGTACCAACAAGTGAATTTATATTTAAAAATTTAACATGCAAAGGTTTTTGGTTATCGAGATGGAAAACGGATAATATGAAAAATAATGAATATCAAAAAATGTTACATGAATTAATCGGCTATATAAAACAAGGACATTTAAAGCCACCACAATGTCAATTATTTAAATTAGAAGACTATGCCAAAGCTATTGAAGCATCAGAGCAACGGTTTTCAACAAAAAAAGTTTTATTTATTTCTTAATACCCGATACATTCAATTACGAAGTTTAGAGAATTGATATATTTTGTGAAGAGTTTACATTGCATTAAGTAATGATATTACATTGCTGATGTATTAACAATGAAGTTTATGCTGGAAATAGCTGTTCTGTACTAGATAGTTAGATGTTTAATACTATCTCGCAGTATAATAGAGAACAGAGGCATTCATTTTGTACGTTGTATAAATGCACATTGATGGATTTGATTTAAAAATAAGATATTTGCCTATTTTGTTTTTATTTTAAGATTAAGTTAAATTTAGTTGAAATAAATTATATCATGAATGTATTACTGTTCATTTTTGACAAGAAAACAATAGAATGTTCTTACGAGAAATGTTACATCTATCATCTTATGATTTGATTAAAATCCTTATATATTCAAAAACAACGATAATTTTGATACTGGATTAGTTTTAACATAAAAAAATACGTCTTTGATTGCTGTAAGAAGAAAAAAATAATACGCTTGAAAAGTTTATTATACCTTTATTCATAATACCATTATTAACCAGAAAAAAAGTATATACTACCACCGGACAAAACTGTCTGAGTTTAACGATTTTTCAACATCGACAGATATACGGAAAGATTTCAAAAATGGAACAATAACAACGCATAGTGGGATGGTTCTAAATACGACTGACATGAACAGCACTTGGAATTTCTTCTATAATTTTTTTATTTTCATGATAGTAAAAACAAAATGGCAAATATCCATACCTTGTTATCATAACAAGCAGCATTCCACCAAAGCACAATTTAATCAAAATCCGCATCAATCCTAAGATATTGATTTTGAAACAGAAGACGAATATATTAATCAGATAGTGATGAAGACGAAGGTTGTAAGAGTTTTGAGATGAAGAAAGTTTTCACTTCTACTTCCGCAGGCAAAAAACACATTTCAACCTCCCAATATTTTCGAAAATCCGGTGCAACAGCGTACTATGCTGCTGTAATCACCAGTACTAGTAAAACTCAAGCTCCGGCTCCAAAAAGTTACCAGCGAAATCCACATTCGTTGGAACGAGTTTCAGTTTCAAGATACAATCCGAGACTACAAAAAACTATTCAGAACAGTTTAAATGAGATGATCAATTGATTCTAACGAAATAGTTAGTGTTCAAATAGAGTTACGTGGCAAACTACTCGTTGCATCCCTCCATCAAGAGCAACAATTTATCTTCCTCTATTCGGTCAACTATATCAAACAAATCCTGACACGTTAGTGTTGGGTGACATTAACACTGCTCTGGAATCAATGGGTTCTACTAAAACTAACAGTAAAGGCCGTCAGTTGGCTCTTTTATTGGAAGAGAACATTTTCTCTTGTATCGACGAGCCGTTGATGACCTACGAACGTAATAATTATCAACAAAAACTAGATTGGATAATCGCCACCACTTCTACTATTTATCTCATTAACAATATCGAAACTCATCCCTCGTTGGGGGTGAACAGTGGTCATAAACCACTGACATTTAGCCTCTTCGTTACCCCCCGACGTAAAACCAGTAACACCATTATTATACATATTCAGATTCGCAAGAAATCCGACACAACAGCTCGGGTGTTGTGTCGGATTTCTTGCGAGTCCCAGGACACATCAAAACGGGTTCAAGACTTCAGAATATAGAGTATTTAAGCTATTCTATATCCTATTTATAGAAGATCTTAAAAGAAAGTTTACAAAATTCTAAGATTTTTCAAAAGGGTTTCTGGAAAACCTATTAACACAAATATGCTTTTTCGATTTTTTCAATCTTATAATCCCATTTAGCGGAAAAAATCTACCAGGTCCTGAAGGTCTGAGCTTCTTCTTATGTTATTGAGTGAATAGTGAATTTTTTAATAGGTGAAAACAGCCTGAAAACCCAAATTTTCGTAAAACTCGCTTTTCAGTAGACTTTTAGAATTTTTTCTAAGAACAAATATTGTCACAAGACTCAGCATGATCGATTACCTAGAGTCCATCCATTTTCAAGGCTACCAATAGTCACCGAGTGCCAGTCGTGGGACTCGCAAGAAATCCGACACAACACCCGAGCCGCGGAAAACCAAGGTCTCACTTGACTATCATTTTGAAGAGGATACCTTGGGCTATCATAGCATGGAAGAAAATCAATACAATCCTATTGAAAAGTTTTACACACGGTCTGGTTTTCCAAAGGTCATCTTGCTGTTTCTCTTTGGTTTTCAGTAAAAGCCGTTTTACTCAGCAAGGAAAACGAATTTTGATAAAAGCTCTACATATTTTTAAAGCTGGCGTGTTGGCCGATCTGATGATGTGTGAATCATCGATATAGCCCTTCAGCTAAAAAACTAGATAGGTTTACAAAATGGGTCATACTCAGTTGACAGCCGTTGGTTTGGACGTCCATGGCGGACCACTGTTTACCTCTGAAATGAACTGAAAATCTTTTTCTAAATCAGTTTTCAATGCTGATTTAAAAAAATATAGCTCGAATCTTCCATCTTGCAATACAAGCTCAAAAAGTCAACTCCACCATAGAGGACGGTTTTTTGTATTTTTGAGGTCCTCTCAGTAATTTGAGTTTTTCTCCATAAAGAAATGGCTTTCGAAGGGTCGAAAGGTGTTATTCGTAATCAGCTCGTTAAGCTGAATCTGAATATGTATAATAATGCCAGAAACAAATTCCACTGAAATTTTGCATTAGCTGCACCTTACTACGTCTTCAAAATTTCGCAGCCAGTAACTTGGAAAAAGCTAATCATTCGGCTGTCATCTTTTTCGATATAAAACAAGCATTCGATTCTGTGTGGCATGATGGCCTAATATACAAACTCTTCGATTTGCACATACCACTCTATATCACGAAATGGATCATATCCTTCCTAGATGAACGGACAGCAGCAATCGAACTCGAGAGTTTACTTGCGAAAAGTTCAACCTAAGGAGTGGAACACCGTAAGGTTCACCTTTATCTCCACTTCTGTACATTTTGTTTACCGCTGACTCAATGAATGGAATGCCGGATCATATGTAACATGGCTTATTTGCCGACGATACGGCGCTCTGGTCAAGTTGCAACACTCTTTCGGGTTTGAACAAGCGACTTCAGGAATGTATAAATGTTTTTGAACGTTGGTGTCAGACCTGGAAACTAACGTTACAGTCGACAAGGACAGAAATGATTCACTTTATCCCACATCTACGTAAACAATACAAAAATCCAGTCGAGGTGGCCCCTTTCTTTCGTCTACAATGCATTCATAGTTGCATGGATCTGTTGTTAATTATTATTTATCTGATTACTAGATATGCTATAATCAATCACTAATAGGACCTACATCTGCCACTATTTTTTGAAATGATGTTGACAAAATATTTTCACATTATTCACTTGTGTTATCGTTTTTCTGGTGTTACGATCCGTATCAGAAGATATTATTTAGTTTTGTCTTTGAATACTGATGTTGTTGTAATGGTAAAAAATTTTGATGTTGAACGATAATTGGACGCTCTAGTCGATTATATTAAAGACTGATATTTGATTCAAGTGTTTAGAAATACAGATTTGTAGGAAGTATGAAAAAGAATTCATAAAGAGTGAAAGTGACAGAAATGCTTAAGAAACAATTTCTGAGCGTGTCGAGAAAATCGAGAAACCATGTTTTAGTTTTTCGGAAACTTTTGCGAAAAACTACGGAACCTTGTAAATTCTTTTTTGTGGATTTCTTATAAATAAAATATATAATAGTCTAAGTATTGTACATCCTGATGTTTCCAACTCATTCTTCGGTTTTCTGAGTGAATAGTGAATTTTTTAATATTATGTGAAAAGAGCGTGGAAATCCTAATTTTCGTAAAACTTGATTTTCACTAGCTTTATAAATCCTTTTCTAAAACCAAAAAATGTTTGCTTATGGAATCATAGCTCCAAGTCTCCTCTTTCGAATGCCGAAAACTGGAGCTCTCTAGGTGCTTTCCATCAAAAGTTATTGGAAAAATTGCAAAGTCCGTCCGTTCTTTGTTTGGACAGACAGTAATACAATTATTTACTACTTATTTTGTACGCCCGACTATTAATATCCTACCTATTCGTAAACGGTTTTCTTAACATGCTTTGACCTAGTGGTGATAAAACATGACTTTATACAAATGAAAATCATATTTAAAACAATTTTCACGAAAATACCAAATCTCATGGTACTCGTTGTTGAGCATTTTCCCACCTATTCCACCACCATTTGCATTTCAATGTATTATAGTGCATCTTGTAGCGAATAAAATTCTCTACAAGATGTTCTAAAAATTTTTGTGACCCAATGAAATTTGTTGTCATAATAATTGTTTTACTAGAAAAATTGCCTTCCTTTTTTTTGTCTAATGGTACTTTGTTTAATTTTTTTCGGCAACGAAAAATTTATCTAAAACCAGAACAATATCAGGTTTTGTTGAGTTTTTTGTGCTCGTTCGAATGATGTGTAATTTAAGAAAATCAAATGTATAATAATGTCGCTACAATTAAAAGTACAAGAAATACAGAATTCTTCAATTTTTGAAGAAAACTTTTGATACCTTTTTTTAAAATTTTTTTTTCTCAACGATGAAAAGTTTTTCAAAGGCTAAAAAGTCGGATTTATACGTAACTTTGGACGGGGAATTTGAAAATCGTATTTAAAAATAATTTTATTTTTCGAAGGTTTTATCGTCTTTTTACAGTATTCGCGATTTTCTTACGGAGTTTCTCTTAATAATATTGAGTAATGCTGCATTTTTTATCTGCTGATTAAAAAAAGTATATTAGTTTTTATTGAGACTATAAAGTGAAAATAAAGTATAGTATATAACGTAAGTAACATCTGCATATTGACTCTCTTGAACAAAATGACATAAAACTACATTGTCAGGTAAATCGAGATGTTAAATTGAACATTCAAATTTTATTTGATTAGATCAAAAATCCAAATCCACTGTATAAACCACCATTTTGAGTACAAAAAGATATAGCAA